AGAACATTATTGTATATTACGTAAATAAGCCTAGCATTTTAAATCGATTATACAAAACAAAATCCTTTTCCAATATCAAAGTGGGAATTGTGTTGCTATGCAACAGTTATGAAATTAATCTGCAGAATACTAATGAATGGCAAATGAATTTATTTTTTGAATGGTATAGTGTCTAAAACTGAAAGAAATCATTTACTTTAATCAAATGTGGTCAACATTCTTCATTTTTATTCATTGTGATAATGTTTAGCTGATTTATATGAAGTTGATCTGTGGATTCTTAATTTTCTTTTCTCACTGGCATGATCATTTTGCTTCTGTAATAAAGAATTATTTGCTTACCTCGTATTTATATTATATTTGTATGAACTGCACTCGTATTGTGAAGCCTGGAGTTTTCATAGCACGTCGATGCTTCCTAGAATTGGAGAATGTTACAACATGGGTAAGGTTTTTTGTATCCATGTCACCTTTTTGCAAAAGCAATTTGACTCATCCCACTCCCTGGTCCTTTCTTTATTGACCTAAAGTTGTTTTATCTTCAGGCACTTCTTGATTCCTTTTTGAAAGCTATGAATGAATCTGCCTCTGCCACCCTGTCAGTGCAATCTGGACCCTGACCACACCCTGCATGGGAAAAAAAGGTTCTCCCCTTGTCACATTGCTTTTTTAACCAATCACTGTAAATTCTAAACCCTTCTGAACAAGATTCTGAACTCCTCCATTTGTTTAAACAGTTTTTCTTGATCTGTGATAACACAGCGTGGAGCTGAAGGAACACAGCAGGCCAGGCAGTATCAGGAAGTTAATGTTTCAGGTCGGCCTGCTGTATTCCTCCAGTTCCACACTGTTATCTCTGACTCCAGCATTAGCAGTTTTTACTATCTCTTTCTTGATCTGTGCTGTCTTATTTCCCTCTGTTGTTGGACTGGCTAAGGAAACAAGGGAAGACCTTTGAAATAGAAGCTGAGATCGTGAACTTTGGGCCTGCTATTCTGTATGCACCAAATGATAGGAATGGCCAAAGAGAATGGTCCCATTCATGTTGCACCTTTCTTATGTAATGACCATATCTTTTCACTTCTTTGTTCACTTGATTGCAGACTGAAATTGTAAAAGGACCTTTTCAAAAAAGCAAGAATTCTGTAAAGATTTGTTGTACTTTATAAAGCCAATCTACCAATGATACTTCTCAGTACTGTTTTTACTATTGTTTGTTCAACCAGTGGGGAAAGTTAAATTGCAAGTGAATTGGTATCAAGCAGTGTGTATGAACTGAGATCCAGCCAGCAACAAGTAGCTGATTGGTCTGTTGGAGTGGTGATCAGTTGTCAGTGTCAAGCAGAAGGATTTTGTCAGGAGGTACATAATTGGTTCCCAGGTGGCTGAATAGTTGTGGGTGTGAACAGTGCAGCCAGAAGCCTTCGGACTTCCAGATGGGAAAGTGGAGTCCTTTTCTCTGCTGTAAAAAGAATTAAAAACCTGGAGAAGGCCACTTTATTTTCTTTCTGCTGTAAGCAATACCTTCTAATCAATAAGTTAAAGTGATTATAATATGTGAATCAGTTGCTCTGTGATTCTTTCAAGGAAGTGAAAAATACCTGGAGAAAGGAGGAATCAACAAATAGCAAGCCCTGGTGAATCAAAGGGTCATCTCAGAGCACCCTATCAACTGGGATCATTGAACTACCTTGCCATGTTTTCTGTCCACCCATAACACCAATTTTATTTTCTGTCTGCGTCTATTTGTATTTGTGTTCAAGTGTGTGTTTATAAAGGGTTACAGTTTTAACTAGTAGATTTATATGCCAGTGGTTCATAATTGTTTACATGCAGCTAAATTTTATTTGTATTTGTAATAATTAATAATTCTTCTGAAGTACAGGAATCTTATCCATGCTTTTTCAACCAGGGCCTAAAATCCCAGGTCAATTAGGGAATTTTGCAGTCTACTGCAAACTTTTGTGACAATTTCAGGAACAGTGGGACTGGATTTTCAGTGCAGTACCCCAATCAGAACACTTGATCAGGTTTGGTTTTGTTTTGTTTTGAGATTCCTCAGATGTTTATTTCCCATTTGCTATTTTCCTTTTGCATGCGAGTTAAAATTGACTATAATATGGCTGCTGAACAGTTAATTTCAAATATTTGTAAAATGTCTCTTCAGAGTCTTGTGTAAAAGCAATTCACTCTAACTTAATTTTGTGGAATCTAGATTTTTCACTAGTACAGTCATAATGGATGTAAGCATATCCATGTATGCAAAATATTGGTTTGACTGTTTCAATTGCTGTGATTTGGTCTCCCCAGGCTCTATGAGCAGCTTTGCTTGTAGTCACAAATGCCAGAGTTGTTTTATTTGGTTAAAAGTCAGCTACCTTGTTGACATTTCAGATATTAAAAATATCCAATCTCTGCTTTTAAGCTTAAAGTGATGGCCTCATAACAGTTACTGTTATGCTATTGGTGGTTCGCAAGCCAGACACTTAACTTGTGTGGCTTCTTGCCAATTATCAACATTTTAAATTGATCTGATTTCAGACTATGGCTGTATTGAATTTCATATCTATAACAGAGTTTCAGAATCTGCTAATGTATACCATGTGAGACACCCAACCCTTTAAATTCCTACTTCGAATACAAGTATTCTTAACAGATTACCCAGTGGATGCAAGCACACTTTGGAAAACTATTACAAGTCAGATGTTTTGGCAGTTGCAAACCATGTTGGCCATGTTTCATGTGTAGTTCAACACCTCATTCTGAGCATTTCTTGGAAATTTTCAAGGAAAACATATGCACGTTATTTGCAAAAGAGAACAGGGTGTGCTTATTTAGAAATTTGACATACAATTATTCTTTGATCAGGGTTGTATTCCTGCTTGCTCCTCCCTCCCTTTAAAGTGTGCTTTTCACTATTAATGATGTAAAAGCTGATATGCTTTAACACTACTGCCACTAGGAGGAGCACAAGAATGGCCCGGAAAACTTTGCACAAGACCTTTCCTCCCTGCTTGTGGGCAGAAATAATTTTGCAAAAGCATATTTGTATAATGTAGAAATTATTGGTAAAATTGCAGTTCACTTTTCTATGTCACAAAGACAACTGCTGCTCATAATATCGTCTAACTTGTTAATTGTGATTTAAATGAAATCTTCACTCTCCTCAAGTAAAACTGTGTGCAGTACTACATTCAAATTGAATAAAACATGATAAAAATTATTTTAAATGTATTTCTGAGAGAACCACTTAAAGGAAATTGTATGCTTCATTTCATTTTAGTTGAGCACAATGCAACTTTTGACACAACCAATTTGAATCTCAAACAATGAAGCTATAAACCATTAATGATTTTGACTCTGATTTTAATCAAAAATATTCCTAATCTACATTCTTTATAATATTTTTGCCTCATTCTTTGGTAGTTGTTTTGATCTGCTAGTGAATAAATAAAATACCCAAAATTAAGCATGTGAATTAAGGTATAAAGATAACATTTCCAAACATGCAACACTCATGTATAAAGGATTAAATACCAGTAGGGGCAGCATTAGTGTATGGAGTTGTAGTGCTGTTTGGAATGGCAGAATGCCATTTCATTTGATTATTTGTTATATTTTTATTGACATCTCCAATTCCTCAATATCCATGTTGGACATTACAGTTTCTGCTTTTAGTATTTACCAAATAGCCAGGTTCATTATTTCAAGAATCTCTTACTTTAAGACAAATATTGTACTGATACAAATGAAGTAGTCATAGACTTACAACAAATAGGGCTGTTCTCTCATTAGCAAGAGATGGCTCGTGGTGATCACTACGCCTCTGGCAAGGGGAGAGGTTGAGAAGGAGAATTTTTCATTGTAACTTCAGTTGATTTGGGAATTGAACTCGTGCTATTGGCATTATTCTGCATTACAAACCAGGTGTTTGAGCTAAACCAACCCCTGACATAAATATTACCCTTTTAAAACTGTAATTGTTTTTTTCACGTTACTTCGTTTTAGACTGTGTTACGTTGGAAGATTTTGTTCATATTTTAACTGTTTAGACATTGCTTGCAGATAACAGCTGGCATAGCTTTTTATGTATGACAACATTTTAAAGGACTTTGTACCTCTCATCTGGTTTTCAGTTCCCTAGCCTGATTTAAGTGTTCGCGTTCAGAACAAGTGATTTACAAACTATATTCGTGTTTACTTTTAAAGTTTTGAAGTTGATTGCATTTTCATGTTTGGGTAATTAACACAACATGAAATGAATAATCTGTTTACTCTCTCCATGAATTGGTTACCTTTTCACATAAACTGAAGAGTTATTTCTCACTGCAAGATCATGAATGGAACAGGTTCTGTGACAGGCAGATAACTCTATTCATTGATCAAATATTGTGGTAATAATGAACATTGTCCACAAAATATTCAATCAAACGATGGGGTATTTGAGTGTTTGACGAGTTTAATTCAAGAAAATATGCTTTCTCAATAAATTTCTGTTAACTAGCACCTATAAAAGATTTCAAGTCGAAGATAAGACAGAAGTGAGAAGTGGGTGAGAGGAAATCTATGCTTTAGAGGGACTGCTTTAGAAAGGGGATGCCTGAAACTTAAGATAATTTCGGACTTCCAACAACTGAAACAACAAAGGATTAGAATTGGGGTGGAAGTTGGTGTTGCTTTATTGAAATTTGTCTCTGGGAAAAGACTGATAATTTGCTGTAACGCTTCTGGTATTTAATTGGTCATTCATGATTTTAAAGGTTGTTAGAGTGTAACTTCAGAATGATGTTATTTTGAATATACGTCCAACATGTTCTGTCAAACCAGTTATAGTTTGTGATGTGAAATAAATACTTGCATTTGAAATTCAGAAGTACTGAACTGTTCCAGTTAACTACTTCATTTCATTTCCTGGTTGAATATACATATCTATCCTCATTTACAGGCATACTGTTTCAGTGTAGTGTCACTATGTATAATATTAAACTACTTTTTTTCAGGCTGGTCGAAAAGAAAGGGGTGACGCACTCAATGCTGCAATTGACAAAATGACTAAAAAGACGAGAGACTTGCGCAGACAGGTATGCTAAATTATTGAAAGAACCGATAAAAAGAAGCATTTCTTTTAAACTGTTACTTTGTAGATCATTTTGAATTTTAAACAATCATGAAAGTGGCGAGTTTATAATTGTGCACAAAACCAGTTGAAAAACAGTGTTAACCAAATGTCTAGGTATTCAGCAATTTAAATCTTGTGTGAAACTTGAATATATTAACAAGAGCTTAAAATTCTATGGGGCCAGTCTTCATCCTCTCTGACGAACGAAAGCATCCCACACAGCTTCTGAAACTACTCCTGCATTAGCCCATGAAAATTGGAAGTTCCAAGATGCACATAGGGTCCTGGCGTACTTTGTGTTAAAGCTTAGAATAGAAAAATAATTAAATAAACTTAATAAAATTGGAGTTTGTCTCTGCACAGCTGTGGCAGAAAACTAATGAAAGCTTCAGTCTTGGTGACTGTATCAAAAGTAATCACAGTTAAAAGAAAATATTAAAATTGATTTAGTACTAATGGTTATTTGAAACTACCCTGATTTCTATGTTTAACTGTGCATGCTTTTTTATGTGTAATTTATATGATATCCAGATTGAATATGGCCTGTGCAGCAAAGATGTCATGTCCATTGACTTTTCTTCTAACATTGCTGGTTGCACTAAAAACTAACACAAGTGAATGTCGCAATAATTATTTTTGCTTTCTGCTAACAATGAAACACCAGTTGCATATTATACAGTGTGGCAGGAGTACCATCCAAGTCTGCATTCCGAAAGCAGGTTGTGTTTAAAAAATGGTCAGCTGGTTAAATTCATACTTAAAAGTACATAATCTGGAGTTGGAACAATTCTAGTTTGGGCAGTCTTTAAGAAAATGTGAGACAACAAGGTGCAGGGCTGGATGAACACAGCAGGCCAAGCAGCATCATAGGAGCAGAGATTGTTATTGTTGTGATTTTTCTGTCTCTGTAATCTTTTAATATAGAGAACTGATTAGAAGCCACATCTATCTGAAGTTATAATGTGATTTTAAATATTTCAAAATGATGGCAGTTAAATTCTGGTGCCTGGAAAATTTTTTGAGGCACATAAACGCCTACAATCAGAATCTGTTATTGGTCGTCTTACTAAGCCTTGGCTCATTAGCATCATTTCCACCTCTAATACGTGAGGATCTGCATTTAAAGCCCATACCCAAGATTTGAACACAGAAATCTAGCTGATATTCCAGTACAGTACTGAAATGTGTCACACTGACAAACATGCTATTTTTCAGATAAGATATTGAATCGAGGAATGTTCCGTGGTGGATATTAAAGATCCTCCTGCATGATTCAAAGAAGTACAAATGATTTGTACGCACACTTTCAAAGATACATACCTCAATGAATGTCACAACAAAAAATCTGGTTATTATGTTACTGTGTGAGAGCTTGATGTGTGCAAATTGAATGCAGCATGTTCCACGTTACAGCAGTGACTCCAGTTCAAACATAAACCTCATTGCCTTTAAAGCATATTGGGATATCCCGAGGCCAAGAAAGCTGTTATATTAAAGCAAGTCTTGTCTTTCTTTCCAGCTTCTTTATTCAGTACTGAAAGGTTATTAAATTATAGAATAATATACTTCAATTGATTAAAGTATAATCAAATAATTAAAATATTGAATTGAGAGCGCAGCTCAATTGTTTCATAAATGGTGATGAATTAATGATTAATTACTTGCAAAATCACCTATTTTAAACTAGAGAGAGGTTTTATTCTAGAAATAAAATGAATCGCTATCAAGAGATTGGGAAAGAAGATATCCAAAATAGGACTGTGGTCCAGACTGAAAGGGTGACTATCCTCTGCTTAAGTGTAAAGGCATAAAATGGTGACATAAGGCTATTTGTTGCTTTAATGACTAATTTCCTAAGATTGATGTGAGGGACTTGTAACTTGTCTACTTCATGCTCTGTAAACTTTTATTATCCATTTAAATGTCTGTCCCCTCTGCTGCTGCTCCTCCCTCCCCTTATTTGGGTATTCTTACAATCCCACTATCTCTTTAAAATGTGCCATGAGAAAGCTGGATAGATTTGGTGGAGCTCAAGTCTGTGCCTATGCTGCACTTTTTCCATAACCATTAACGAAGGACTTAGCCCACTGCCCTAGCTGATATTTATTCCTCAATCAACAAGTAAAAAACACTTTAATTATTTAACTATCACGTTTGCTAGTCATGAGAGTTTGTGTGCACAAATTGGCTGTTGAATTCTTTACATCAGTGATGACGTTTAAAAAAACTTCATTGGCTGTAAAATGCTTTGCAAAGTCTTGATGAGCTTGACATAACTACATGTCTTTGTGAATTGAATGTGACAGTCACCGTTTCCCAAACATTCTCTTAGCATCACATTCCTCATTTCTTCAGTTAAGGGAACCAAATCTAGCACCACATCCTACCTTTATTAAAGGTGCAGTACGCTGATTAAGCAATATGGTAACCGATACCTTGAGGTTTTCTAATTCGGTTCAGATAAACTCTGCCACTGTTTATGAAAATGTTTCTTGATTTGACTAAATCTGCTATGATATCTTGGACTTAGTTCTTCTATGTTGCAGTGTGCTATTTGTTTTGCTACTAATTAGAATGTGATCTTAAAAGCTCCTTTTCCTTGATAAATAATCCCAGAAATAATGAATTTGAGTTAGATTAAAGGATTAGAGGCGGTCAGATTGTTCTATTTTGAGGAGAGAATGCTAACAGACATTCATGGTGGCTTAGTGGTTAGCACTGCTGCCTCTCACAAGGGACCTGGGTTCTAAAGTCTTCAAAATCTGGGGCCTGGACAGAGTTGATAGGGAGAAACTGTTCATATTGGCAGAAGAATTGAGAACCAAAGGGCACAGATTTCAGGTATTTAGAATAAGCAGTGGCAACGTGAAAAATGTTTTTCACTAACAATTGATTTGGCTCTGGAATCCATTGGCTGATGAAGTGTTGGAAGCAGGGTCCGTTGCGGTTCTCAAAAGGAAATTAGATAATTATCTGAAAAGGAAATAAATGAGCAGAGCTGTGGGGAAAAGACAAAGGAGTGGTTCTGAGTGAAGTGTGCCATTAGATGGAGAGCATAGACACGTGCTGATTCTATACCTTGTCCAACTGTTTTCATTTCTGTCTCTTACTGCACACTTTGACATAATCGTTACAATTGGATGTCCAATTTAGCTATCTGTTTTAATATGTCCTGGGATACTTAGTGGAGGTAGGAAGTATGCATGACAGATAATAGTGGAGGTAGGAAGTACGTATGGCAGATAATAGTTGACAAGATGGTACAAATAAGATTTTGAGGTTCACTTCAACTTTAGTTGCAAAACCTAAGACAACAGTCATTGGTTGTCTCAAACCTAGGTGTCACATTAACAGCACTTTCAAACCCACAGCCGCTTCCAGAAGGACCAGCGCAGCAGATACATGGGAATGCCACCATCTGCAAGTTCTCCTCCAAGCCAATAACCATCCTGACTTGGAAATATATTGCTGTTTCTCAGTGTCACCGAGTCAAAGTCCCGGCAATCACTCCCTGACAGCATTGTGGGTCTACCTTTAGCCCATAGACTGAAGTGGTTCAAGAAGGCAGCTTGCCACCAGCACCACAAGGGCAACTAGACGAAGGCAATAACTACTTACCCAGCCAGTGATGCCTGTGTACCATGAGTGCCTTTTTACCCCAAATAGCCTTAAGTTTACATTAGCTTGAGCCATAGTGTCTTTTTTAAAAAAAAAGTGGACAAAGAAACATTGCTTTCAATCTGGGTCAAATGGCTGCTATTCCTTAAAAAGGTATTTCACAACGAATCCCAATCAAACACAATGTAATTTAATTCCTTGCTTAATCAAGTCAAAATTATTGAAAAATAGTCTAATCTTACACATTGTGTTCTGTAGTCTTGTAATCATGATCACCTAGGGGGATCCTTTGTCTTCCATTCACAAAAATAAAGAAAAAGAGCAGGAGTAGGCTATTCGACCCTTTGACCCTGTTCTGTCATTCTGCATGTCATGGCTGATTCCACTGTCTCAATTCCATATTCCCACTTACACCCCGTACCCCTTGCAGGTGTTGGGGGTGGTGGCGAGTGGTGGTGGTGGATATTTTACTCTTTAAAATCTAAGAATATACCTGTATCTTTCTTGGATATATTCAGTGACTTGGCCTCCACAGCCGACTTTGGTAGAGCATTTCACAGGTTCACTACTGTTTTGAGTGAAGCAAGTTTTCCCTCATCTCAGTCCTAAATGGTCTACCATGTATCCTAAAATTGTCCCCTGGTTCTAGGACTCTCCAATCAGGGATGGCATTCTCTCTGGATCTAGTCTATCCAGCTCAGTTAGAATTTTATATATTTCAATTGGATTCCCCCTCATTCTTCTAAAATCCAGTGACTAGGGATTGGTTTGGGTTGTTTTCTTTAGAGCAGAGAAGGTGGGTGGTGGATGGATCCATTTTTGAAGTGTATTAAATTGATGGACAGGATGATTTTGATGTGTCAGTAATAAACTGGGCATAATTTTAATGTGAAGGGTAGGAGGCTGAGATTTCAGACTAAATTTTTTCATCCAGAGAAATAGAGATCTACAGCACAAAGAAAGGTCTTTCGGCCCATCCTGTCTGCGCCAGTCAAAAAGCAATTACCTAACTATCCTAGAGATAGTAGGAACTGCCGATGCTGGGGTCTGAGGTAACAAGGTGTAGAGCTGTATGAACACAGCAGACCAGGCAGCATCAGAGGAGCAGGAAAGCTGACATTTTGGGCCTGCATCCTTCTTCAGAGCGTCCAGACCTGAAACATCAGCTTTCCTACTCCTCTGATGCTGCCTGGCCTGCTGTGTTCATATAGCTCTACACCTTGTTACCTAACTATTCTAATCCGTTTAGCCCTTTGTATGCCTTAGCATTGCAAGAGTATATCTAAATATTTGAATGTGATGAGGGTCTCTGCATCTACTACCTTTACAGGCAGTGAGTTCCAG